GAGACAAAGAAAATACCTGGAATGCCAGATGACCCTCCCAGTAGTTAATGGTGGTTGACCAATCAGTTCAAAGGAATCCCCCTCTTGTAGTAACCAATCACTCTTACCCAACTTGTTCCGGTCAGTGAATGTGCTAATCATGTTTTAGAGTTGTTACTTGATTTTCCCGCGGTGTGTGATGATTTGCTAAGAGATGCTATGATGTATGTGAAGTCCCTGTCTTCCCCAAAGAGTGTATAAAACCACTGCAAACCCTGGGCTCAGTGCCACTCAGCGTCACCAGTTGCTGTGTGAGTGGAGGACCGAGCTAGATCACAATAAACACCTCTTTGCTGCTTACATCTATCTTGGTCTCTGGTGATCTTTTGGGGGTCCCAAATTTGAGCATATCAGTTATTGTAGGGCCTTTCTGCTCATAAATTGTAATATTCATATATCACTTGTCTTATGCACATACAAAACGAAGATCACCTCGGTGTGTGCGTGTGTGTGTGTGTGTGTGTGAGTGTGTGTATGCATATATATATATATATAATTTCACAGAAGGTAAAGTGCCAAATATTAAAAGAAATCTGTATAAGTATTTTCAAGCAAACAGGAGAGCAGGAGAGTATTATTATTACTGTGAGCTAGGGAAGCCTATCTGAAGTAAGACACCATACAAAGCCTCTAGAGGAAAAAAACTGATTTTTTTCTGCTACCTGAAAACTAAAGCGTCTCTTTGACAAAAACACTGCATGGTTAAAAGACAATTGGTATGCTAGAAGGATATATGCCTAACTTGTTGAGAAAAAAGAACTCACATCCAAAATACATAAAAAAATCCTAAAAATAAAAAGACCTAATAATTCCAATAATAGCGTATTGCAAGTATCAATAGCTTATGAAAATGTTTTTTTCCCCTCAGTAATAGAGAAGGCAAAAGCAAATTAAAACAGCAATGAGATAGATGGCAAAAATAAAAATGACTAATAAAGGCTAAGACGTGCTGTACAGTAGATGGTAATGCTGTTCTGAAGGCTATTTACCAGTCGTTATTAAATTGAATATCCTCTTCAACCCAGTAATTCCTCCTTTAGATTTCTATTTTATAGAAATTTGTATGAACCCAAAAAATGCACAGGCACAATATGCATTTTGATAATTTTCATTGAAACATTATTCCTATGGGACAAAAAGGAAAATGACCTAAAATGTTCAACAATATTGAAGTGTAAAGTAAATGACAGTGCATCTATGTCATAGGTTTTTACACATAGAAGGAGGAAAAAAAAACGAGACAAAGGTAATTAGAAACTCAAGGAAAAATAAAAACAAAACTCCATAAGAAAAGGTCTGATGCTAAGATTTTAAAATGTGCCATGACCTTGAGCAACTGGTTGACTAGAACAGACTAATTTAAATTACACTAAAAAACCCTGTAATTTAAAAAATTTTGCCAGCCAACATGGAACACCAGAACAATACAGAAAGAAATACATCCTATTGTTTACCTCAGAAGTGAGCAATATTTGTGTAGTCATGAGTGCTACTATTGCTCTTTATCCTCCTCCACCCCCCCCCCCCACAATGCTTAGGATCAACCCCAGAGCCTGGTGCATGCTAGGCAAGTGTTCCCCCACTGTGCTATATCCCAGCCCTGACTTTTCATTGTTTAGAATTAACCTACAAGCATTAAAACTTAACGTTACAAAATACTAAAATTTTTTGCCAACCATAACAATACTAGAGTTGGCATAATACATAAATAATAAAGCTCTGGGAATAACAGTGGCAGAAAGGGTCTGTGTGCTCAGATTCTTATCTTTCATAAAGGAGAGAAACACTCTTAGGAGACCTTCACTTGATCTCTACTGATTCAAATGTTTGCAATTTGATATACTTAATATGAATTTTTGCAATGTGAATTCCTTGTGTAGTTAATAATAGATTTAAAATTTTAATTACTATTTTTTAAGAAAGAGAAAATAAAGGATAAGAATAATTTAGAAAGCACTCAAAGACCTAGTTAAATACCTTAATATACCTATGAATGAGTTTGTTATCTAATTATCTGAAAAATTCTTCCTATTTTCCACTTTAGAAATGGGGACATACAAAACAAAACAAATAACCCAATCAATAAATGGGCAAAAGAACAGACACTTCTCAAAAGAAGAAACATAAATGGCCAACAAATATGTGAAAAAATGTTCAACACTTCTAGCAATCAAAGAAATGCAAATCAAAAATACTTTAAGATTTCATATCACTCCAGTCAGAATGACAATTATTAAGAAATGCAAAAAATAATAAATGCTGGTGAGAATGTAGGGGGAAAGGTACACTCATACATTATTGATAGGACTACAAATTAGTACAAACACTCTGGAAAGCAATATGGAGATTCCTCAGAAAACTAGGAATGAAACTACCATATCACCCACTCCTTGGTATTTATCCAAAAGAAATAAAATCAGCACGCTACAGTGATACAGCCACATCAATGTTTATAGCAGTTCATAATAGCCCAGTTATGGAAGCACCCAAGATGACCATCTACAGATGAATGGATAGAGAAAATGTAGTATACATACACAATGGAGTTGTACTAAACCATAAAGAATGAAATTATGGCATTTGCTGGTAAATGGATAGAAATGAAGAACATCATGCTAAGTGAAAAAAGCCAGATTCAGAAAATCAAGGGTTGAATATTTTCTTTCATATGCAGAAGCTAGAGTAAAATAATAGGAAAAAAAAAGTGTGTATGTGACAGTATCAGATATCATAAAGATATAGGGAAGATCGGTAAGATAGAAGGAGATGGAGAAGGAGGGAGGGAGGAGGGATGGAAAAGGGAAGAAAATTCAGAATGATTTAACAAAATCATGAGCATGTACAAATATGCCACAGTGAATTCCACCCTTATATGTCTATAAGGCACAAATTAAAAATAAACAAATAAATGAGTGAAAAAAAGAACAATAGAGTAACAGGAAGGAGAATGAGGGAGGGAGCAGAGAAGGGAGGCAGACCTAAAGGATGGAGGAATGAAATGAGGAGGGTGGGGGGACAGACAGTGAATGTAGAAATGAAATGGATAAATCAAATTTATATATGTATGATGTATTTTAAAGAATTTCCAAGTACCTCCATGTAAAGAATGTCCCTCTTTATTTTTTTAAATTCAGATAAATGTGTATTAAATAACACATTTGAAATTCCTATAATATTCAATATAATATTAAATGAGAAAAATGATAAAGAAATATCACTCTATGACTTTAAAAACATTAAATTATCCATTATATCTCTTATGTCCCAATTGTATTATTTTCCTTGTAGAAAATCCAACTATCTTTTGTCATAGATAAAAGCAGTAACATTGGAAAAAGAATTCTTGGCTGGGTGCTGGGTCACATACTCTTATAATCCCAGTGCCTTCAAGGCTGAGGAAGGAGGATCAGAGGATTGCAAGTTCAAGGCCAGCCTCAGCAATTTGGGCAGACCC